CCATCGACCTATCATATTTTTAAAGCCGTATAGACTGTATTTCTTGGCTAAGGCTTAGACTATTGATTGTTTTTGCAAACCTTGAAATGACTGTCCGGCAGCTCAGAACAGCGACGGTTTCGAAGACGTTTGCCAAACTTGTGGTTACCGCCTGGGTGGAAGTTTTTGCATTTCACAGATTTCCCTTTTAAACGATTGGATTTTCGCAGTCATCAAACACATTCTGTGCGGTTTTAGTGTGCTTCGCACTTCTTTCTGCAGTGTGCCTTGCCATTGTGAGAGTGAGACAGACCTGATCACCGTTGTTGCTCAAACCTAGCTTGAGAAAGCTCTCACTCCTCACAGTTTTAGAGAACTGGCAGGAGGTAGAGTTTCTGTTTAGAATCGGAGCCGGCAGCGGACTCAGTTTGCATATGCGATTCCAGGTCCCTTACTCCAGCCAGAGCTGGCAGGAGGTAGGGAAATGTAAACTAGATGAGGGCTGTTCGCTTTTAGGCTTAGGGCCAGGCTGGGACAGGGACTGCGACCAGAAATTTTCTCCTGTTCTTTCCTTGCGAGCAGAATTTGCTGGCTCAGGGCAGAAGCGGAAGACAAGGCGGTGTTTAGCCTATGCCGGAATCTCGGATCGGTTCAAGTTGCGATTGCGCAGTTTCAGCTTCAGCGAGTGCAGGTCATGCAGTCTTTTGTTGTCTGCGACCTTTGCTTGCTTGGCTGCTGCGAGAGATCTCAAGCCTTTAGGTGACCCGAGTGTGAGTGCCATCGTCGCGACAACAGTTGCTATGATCATGGCCCGACGTGTGTGGTTTTTGGTCGTCCTGGCAGCGTGGACTCGGGGCCGTGTCCTCGGGCAGGCGGGATTGTAAGGTGCAGGTTGTCCTTTTTAAAGTTACTGAAGACAGAAATGTTGTGTTTCTTAGGGCCGTGTTTGTGCTGCTGCTCCCTTTCAGGGTGACCCCAGCGGCGATGTGCCGCCTCCGGGGCCTAGCGGCGAGGTGCCGCCTCAGGGGCCTCCGCCGCCTCCGGAGCCTGCGGCCGAGAGGCCAGATGCAGCGCCAGAAGGAGGAGACGGTGACGACCCCATGATGGGGATGGGGGGGGGGCGGGATCCATTGGCCAGCAGCAGCAAGCCTCCTCGCCGAGCATGCCAATGGGCTCGCCGAGCATGCCAATGGGCTCAGCCGGTTTCCCGCCCATGGGCTCAGCCGGTTTCCCGCCCATGCCGCCCCCGCCACAGATGCCGCTGATGGGGCCCGGGGCCCAGATTCAGATGAGCCGATTCTTGCCTTCATGCAGCTGCTGCTGCAGCAGCAGCAGCAAATGCAGCATCAAATGCAGCAGGAGCATGCGTATGGTGCCCGGGCTGCCGCCGAGAAGGCTGTGGCCGAGGAGGCAGAGAAGAAAGCCGCTGCGGATGCGAGGGCGGCGAAGGCCGCTGCCGAGGAGGCCGCCGCCTTAGCAAGAGCGGAAGCCGAGGAAAAGGCTGCCGCCGAGAAGGCCGCCATGGAGAAGGAAAGGAACGAGGAGCGGCGTTGTCAAGAGGAGGAAAGGAACGAGGAGCGGCGGATTCAAGACGAGAGGGAACGAGCTCAGTGGGCCAAAATAAGGCAAAGCCTTAAGAGACTTCTTGACGAAGAAGTTCCAGCCGACGATGAGGACGAGCCGAAGGAGAAGGCTTCCAGCAGCTCGGCGTGCCCTCCGCCCCACTGGGACTTACGAGTTTGCAGACAGTGCGGCGAACAGTCGTACAACCGCAAAAACTTCTGCATCAACAGCAACTGCGAGCCTGGTCTGAATAAGTACTTATTTTAGAAGCTTCGTTGCTTGTACTACATGTTTTCCTTTTTCTCTTTTTGTTATAAAAAACCTCAGCAGCTAAGGAGTTGTTCAATCCTTGGGTGGAACACACCCCTTTGCAGAAGCCAGAGGTGCCACTCAGCGAGCGGCAAGCATGGTTCAGGAGCCTGAGACAAAAGAAAGAGAAAGAGAAGGAGGAAAAGAAGAAAAAAAAACAGAAGAAGGAGTCCTGGCCGGGATATGACGGCAGCTACAAGAACTATGACAAGCCAGGCTCCGGTGACAAAGGAGGTGAAGGCGGACCCGGAGATGATGGCTCGGCCGGGCAGGGCCTTAGTGGTGGGAGCGATCCCGCCATTATTTCCGTTGCGTAGGGCACGATTGATTGTTTGGAGAAGGCTGAAGAAAAAATGCTGCTTGCTTTTGCACATGCATAGGGATTTTCATTGACATGGCAGCCTTGCAAAGCTCGCTTGCTCAGGCCCGAAGAAGAAGCTTTGCTGGAGCCCAGGTTTCGCTGTCACCGATTTCTCTGCTGTCAGTGGACGGTGAGTGCGATAGCCTTGCTTTGACCTTACTCCAGGTCAGGGTAGCCAGCCTTGCTCCGGCTCAGGCGGGTTCCGCCTTGCTGGGAGCTCAGGCTTCTACCAAGAGAGAATGTGCAGTTGCAGAGCATGGCTGCGGATGTGCTGATCTGTTTGATGTTTTTATGGCCCAGATTGGCAGATAGCTGTGCTTAGATTCGATAAAAGAGGAAGCTTGTCTGCCGATTTCGTGACGGGCCATGGCATCGTCTTCTTCCTTGGCCTTGTCGTCCTCGGTGCCAGGCCAGACAGCTGCAGCAGAACAGCAGAGGCGATGCCAAACCGAGGGGTGCGACGTGTTGCTTATGCCCGGCGCCAGTCATCGTCACTGCTGCAGCATGTGTCCGCAGGGGCATACACATTCGTGCTACCGACGACGGTGGCGTGCAGCGGAACTTGAAGCGGCCGATCCTGCCACTGCCTTGGCGCCCCGACGGCGTTGTGCCACAGAGGGCTGCTCAAGAGTGGTTGTGGGCGAGCACACGTTCTGCTGCCGAAGGTGTCGCCCTGGCAGCCTGGGCCGTCACACCAGGGGCTGCGACAGTCGCATCCTTGTCCTGTCCCAGCAGTGACAGTTGTTTCTTTTGGTTTTATCCACAATTTTGAGTCGGCCTCCAGCCGTGCGTGCTTCCGAAAAAAGGCTTGAAGAGGCCGAAGGGTTTGCTGATTGAGTACGGTGTCCAGCCTTGCCTTGCTCCGGCCCAGGCCCCGTCGATTCGTCGATGCGGAGGCCTTGTTGGAGCTCAGGCTCAGGCTGGTCTCGTGTAGGTGCAGACACAGACAGTCACTGAGCAGGGCACCGATGTGTGTTTTGTGCAGGCTGGCACATAGACTTAGTCACGGAGGCCACTTTGCAGCCTGTGTTTTTCCTCCTTACAGCATCGTGCTGGCACGAGGTGGCGGGCTCGGAGCTGGGCGGCCAAACCCTAAACCCCTTGACCCTAACACCTAACCTTTAAACCCTGAACCCCAACCCCCCAAACCCCTAAACCCTTAAACCCCTAAACCCTTAAACCCTGAAACCCTAAAGCCTCAACCTCAACATGACCCTGTAACTCTGAGGCAGCTATGATGAAGCTGCGAAGGTTTGGTGCTCAAGGCTTGCAGAAACAAAATGGTTTCAGCCGTGCAGCTTGCAACCCGTCTTGAACCAGCAAAGCAGATTGAGCTCAGGGGACATGTCTGCGTTTGTGTATGTTTGTTTGTATTGTGCGGCTCTCAGTGGCTTCCTTTGGCAGAGCTAAGCACTCAGCAGTCCTTTGCTAGCAATCGCTTGCAAAGATGGCCCCGAAACGTTCTACTATGGCGACGAGGACCCCGGGCCGGCGAATGCGTGGCAAGGGCAAGCAGGTCAGCAATCTCTCCAAGTCTATCGCCAAAACGGTCAAGAAGGCGACTGAGAAGCAGAGCAAGCGGCAAGAGAAACAAGAAGAACGTGTCCAGAACGGCTTCAAGAAGGCGATGCACACCTTCTACGAGCGAAACCTGCAAGAGGATCGCGACTTTGTCTACAAGACCCTCGGCGAGCACGAGGAGTGGCTGCCCAGGCTGTCGGCCCTGTTCAAGTCGGGAGCCTTGCAGGCACTTTTGACGGAGGATGCCCACGATGATCAGGGCGACGAGGGCAGCGAATCCTACGAGTTGGGGGAGAAGTTGAAAGGCCGAGGCAACAAGCTTCTCAGCCTCAGCAAGCAGGGCAAGATCGCCATGCTTCAGGACTATGCGGACTTGGATGAGCTGCAGGAGAGCGACGTCTGCGATGATTGGCTGATCCATGCCATGATCTTCGTGTTTCACATCAACAAGAAGACCCCCTTGCCCGGGGTCAAGAATATCAGGTTCGTCGAGAAACTAAGGAGGCAAGCTAAGTTCAGAGTCGAGGACCTGCAGTTCAAAGCGGTGTCGGCGGGGACCAAGCTCAAGTATGGCGAGCGAGACAGCATTCGGTGCTACTACGTGGCCCCGGGCCAAGAGGTCAAGGCCTGAAAGGAGGCCATCTCGCAAGTCGGAACCTGTGCTGAAGGAAAGACGAGGCCTTGAAGGTCTCGCCGGGGCAGCACGTGAGGCAGCAAAAGCTGTAGATGCCGTTGCGGTGTGTGTGTGTGTGTGTGTGTGTGTGTGTGTGTGTGTGTGTTGTCAGTATGAGTATGTTGCTGCTGTTGCTGCTGTGATGGATGCAGTCCATGACCTTTCGCACCTGACCCCCACACCCCCTCGACCCCGCCCACTCCATGCTGGCAAGTGCAGTGCAGGCATCCACCCCATCCCATTGTGTGCATTGTGCTGCAGAGTCGTGCCTGCATGTTCTTTTATTAGAACTTTTGCGAACCCCGAGCCCAAGGAGATCTCAAGTCCTGAGCCTGTCATGCGAGTTGCCAGCAGGTGTTGGCTCTAGCATTGACAAAGGCACGGGAATCACAGACATTCATGTTTCCGAAAGGCCGTGTGGGGCTGCTACTCAGGTCCTCTGGCCAGGTCGTACTGTAGTAACTTAGTACTGCCACTCAGGTCCTGCGGTCAAGTCCTGAGTGACTCGCCTGAGGTCCGGTCGCTTCCACATCATCTGTATTTTATTAAGTTCAGGATCATTATTATTACCTTTAGACTCAGACTCCGCAAGAAATGGCGTCCCAGCAGCAGCCGAGTCTGCACTTGCGACGGACTCGCCAACATCTGCTCCTGCACAACAGTGTGACAGGTGAACTTGTCAAGCTGGATTACCTGGATGCCGAATGGCATGATGGGCCCGGATTGACGATCCGGTTCACGAGAGAGGATGGGTCAACGGGGGAATGTTCCGCCACAGAGCTTCTTCAATGGGAGAAGCGGGGACCCATACTGAGGAACCACCAGGACAACTGCGACGAAATTTGGTCAACAGCTGTCAACACCTTCAAAGCTGCGGCTGTGGTAGTGCCTGCACACCAAGGACGACAGTTTCGCTGTGAGTTGTTTGCATACAGAGTGCCAAGAGGAGAAGGCACGGGGACCTTGTATCCCCATCTCCGGTGGCTCGTCGCATTTTGCGGAGGCCACCAGAACAAGAACTTCGTGGGATGCAGTGCGGACTCCTGGGAGTACAAGCTTGGGAGCTACATCCAGGCCTTGCACAACAACAGCCTTTCCTCAGAGGATCTCAAGGCGAAGATCCAGAGTCACATTGTTGCCAGCCGGAAGGCAGAAACTTCGAAGGCAGCGGCAAGCCGCAAGCGGAAGCAGGAGCCGGGGGAGCCGGCGGAAGCCAGCACGGCGGAAGCGGGCGAGTATTCCGCTTCGTTTTTCGTTCTGGGTATGCTTCTGCTTCACTGGAGTTCACGAAAGCTGCACAAAAACAGCCAATGGAAGCTGGGTGCAGAACACGTGAAAGCCACAGCGACCATGCTCCTGCGAGCATTGTGCAGAGCCTTCGTGACAGCCTCACAGGCTGTCTGCATCAGGTCGGCCAAAGTCCAGATTGTGTTGACCGAGGATAACATCCACATGAAGTGGCACACGTTCTGCAGCAGTGACTCTTCATTGAAATGCCTGAAGGATATGTTTCCAGAAGAGCACGATTTCTGCGAGTGCCTGCAAATGTGCTGCCGTGAAGAGGTCAGCCCGAACATCTCCGCAGCCAAACGAGAGAGCCTGCGGAAAGCTGTGGCTCTTTTGCTCCAGGCTTTCGCCGATCTCGTGGAAGGCAGCAGGATGTCCGACATCTGGCAGGAGACCGAGCTCTGGCGCCTGCAGCCCTTGAGGCCGGGTGTGTTTTAATTTCAGGACTGCAGCAAGCCGGGCCGAAGAGATGATGCTCTCTGTGGCTTCGTTTGCTAGCTGCTATCCTTGGTGCTACTGCTGTCAGTGGGAGAAGGCAGCGAGGGAAGCTTTTTTTGGTTTGCTCTGAGCTTCTAGTCGCCTCTGTGATTCTCGTGACAGGACCAAGAAAGGCTACAAGAGGCTCAGTGGAGCACAGAAAGCTGCAGTGCTGGAACAGACAAAGAAGCAGCACCTCAGATCAGCCTCCAGTGTCCTAGCTTCGCAGGAAGGAGCTGAAGGCAAACAACGAGGCAATCTTACCATCCCACTGGAGAGGTATGCCTATGCTCAGGAAGCCAGAGCTCGCTTCGGGGAGGCTCACTGGCTGAGTTTGGCAATCGATGGAGTTCAGGTCGGCTCCAAGTCGTTGCTCAATGTTTTGGCCTGGGATGGCCAATCTGGCTGGAGCTGCATCTGTCCGCCTCAGGCTGGTCGGGAAGCTGTGCTCGTGTGTTCAGGTAGTGGGTTTTCCAATTCGTCTGCGCCAGTTCGGTTTCCAAGTGGTTTGCGCCAACTTTTGGTTGCCAAAAGGGTGCGTTTGCAGGCTCCAAAAGCGTAGGGCTGACAATCCAATTCGTCTGCGCCAGTTCGTTTTCCAATTCGTCTGCGCCACTTTGGGGGGGTCGCCATGAAAGGTTTAGTGTGGACTTGCATTCCAATTCGTCTGCGCCAGTTGGTTTCCAAGTGGTCTGCGCCAACTTTGGGCTTTTTGCAAGTCCGAAAATTTGGGCAAAACACTGCCCCAAAAGCAAATGCAAAACCGCCTGCCCCTGCCCCTGCTTTGCTGCCCTCTGCCTAAAGCGGTTGCTTGGATGGTGTCTGTGTGTGCAGCCGAAGGTGCCTCGAAAAAGTAGCGAACCAGAGCTTCCTGCCACCAAGAAGTGCCATGGCCCGCTCTCGCACACCCACTCGCCAGCGAGGCACAGGAGCCAGGGTCGTGGAAGGCAGCAACACCGAGAACTCACCGAATCAGCAGATTCAGGACCGGTCTCGCAGTCCACGTGCTTGCAGACATGAGTGGCGATGGTGCTGGAAACACACGATTGGCGAAACCGGCGAAAGCATCTGGTGGTGGTTGTGGTTTCGTACATGAGCCGGGATGGATCGCCTGCACGAGGCTACGGCATGCAGACCAGCCACTAGCCAGTAGTTGATTGGCTTGGTGTTTGGCTTGGTCGTTTTGTTTTGGAAGGCATCCAAGAGTAGTTGGGTTCATAGCAGGTTTTTGGTCCAGGTGTTCAGAATGCAGCAGAAGCTTTGGAGCTTTCCGAAGTGTTGTTTTGTAGTTTCAAAAGCCTTGCAGAGGCTCCTGAGACTCCTGAGAGGCTCGCAGCCATGAAGCTTGCGAGCTGGTTACCTTTCCCATTTTCGTTGGGACGAATTCATGCGTATCGGAGCAAAAGAAGCTTTCGTTGTCTGCAGCCTGGAGCCGAAGCCCCGTCGAAACCCCACCAAGTTTTGAAGCCTTTGCTATAAGGCAGTGTGCGGTCTTAGCATGTTCCAGCCCTCCCATGCAGCCCGGCCGCTCCCCAGAACCCACCCCCCAGTTTGTCTTGTTCTCCGCAGAGCACAATGACATATCTCATAGGTATATCATAATGGCGTTTGGGGCCATTCACAAGCAGCAAGATTCATATCCTAGCTTAGCCCCCCCCCCACACACGTGTTGTGAGGTAAGGTCAGCGGTGCAGCGAGTGCCTAGTTTTTGTTTCTGCCTGTGCAGGTACAACAGAAGCTGAAGGCAAAGGCGGGCGAGGAACAGGCGGATTGGGACCGGAGGGTCGAGACTTTCCTCGAGCCTCGCACAGGAGAGTCCATGCCTGCAAAGAGAATGAGGCTCAAAGGCAAAGCCGTCGAGGATGTGCCTAGACAGGCTAGCCTCGCCTGGATGCAGGACGGGAACCATGCCCTCAAGTTCTTGGGTCAGGATCTCTTCTCCTTCAAGGTTGAACTCCCGTACAGCAGCGACATCCCGAAGTCCCTCATCTTAGCAACAGACCAGGAGGCGACTCAGCTTGCTGCGACGAATTTTTTGAAAGACCCAGAGCAGGGCATCAACGTGGAGCTCATCGCAGACCCGCAGCATCGGAGGGGGAACGATGCTATGCTCGCATTCGCGAGCTCTGGGACATTGAGGCGTGCAATATTCGCCATAGGCTTATATAACCTCCAGTATGGGCCGTATCTCAAAGGAGGGTGGCACGAGATGTTGGTGTCGGCGGCGCAGATGTGCTCTCAGAGTCTCTCGCCGAACGACCCGCTTCTCAAAGTGTTCTTCCCAGAGATCCTAGCCGATCTGGACGAGCCCACCAGCAACGACACGGAGCAGCGGCGAGCAGCTTTCCTCAAGAGTCTCAAGAGTTTGCCTTCCTTGCCTGTGGTCGCCAGCAAGGGACCGAAGGCAGCCAAGTCGCGATTTGACTCGCTGCAGCATGCTCAAGACCACCTGGACCCCTACTGGGCTACCTTCGCCTTTCTGTTGACCGTGGTGTGTTTGACTCAGGGCTACGTGCAGTTCGCCGACGAGCTCTGGACCCCGGACGACGTCCTCAAGGAGCTTTTGAAACCCGAGCAGTCGGGAGCAGCCGCAGCTGGCAGCTCTGCGGATGTCGGACCGACCGGCGGCACCACGAAGCAGGCTGGGATCCGGCAAGCAAAGGAGCAGATGAACAAGATGCGAAGCAAAGCTGTGAATACTCTGCACGTCTATGCCAAGTGGATCAATGATCCTGTGAACAAGTCCTATGCCAGACTTATGTTCTATCTCCAGCAGCCAGAAGCCCTGGATTCGGGGCACATGCTCGTGCAAACGCGGTCGGAGGAAAGCACCCGAGAGTTTTTCATGAACTGGGCATGCTGGAGCTTTCTGAACGTGGCGAAGGACCAGTTGCTAGTCCTCAGCGACTTGCGACTCTTGAAGCGTATCGGCTTTGACATGCAAAGAGATTCGGCGAGAACTCTCTCAGAGGATTTCCTCGCACTGCAGGACGAGCTGGCGGAGATCATGTTTTTGGTGCTCCGCAAGCTTTTGAAGTATCGCTTAGGCAGCATGCTTCAGCACACGTGGAGTTTGCCTCACAAGCTCGCAGCCTTGCTGGAGAGGAATGAGGAGAAACAAGCAGCTGCGAGAAGCTTCTTGAAGACTGTGGCCAGCACCCTGGAAGCAGTGCAGGCCAACGGAACACTTGCAGCAAAGCAGATGCTCAAAGGGCAGCACAGTCCCATAGGCAACTGGGCTCTGGATCGCTTGGCGAAGGTTGAGTTCCAGAAGACTCCTGCTGAGGTTTTTCACATGGTTCGTCAATTCTTCGGAGGCCTCTTGAACACCAAGCTCGTAGAAGATCTCAACAAACTTCAACGGGAACACGAATGCAGAGACTCCACGAAGCAGGAGGTGAGCGAGATGTTGAGCTGGCGGATAGGGACACAGCATGACCTGCTGAAGGGCTACAAGCGGAAGGAAATCCAACCTGCCGACGTGAGAAGTCCGCCCAAGGACTACGACCCCCAGCTCCTTTTCAGGCGGCAAGTCGACAGGATGAGCAAGGCAGAGAGGACTGAGAGAGAGGAGAAGATCGAGAGCACCTTGAAGAAGATCTGCGGCCCGACACAGTGGTATGTTTGCACACCCGAAAGCCATCAGCAGACCATGGTGAACCTTGCCTTGTTGGTGCATATCAAGGAGGAGTTCGAGAAGGTGGAATCTGCGTGGCACGGCTCTCTTTTGCCGGAGGGCCACGTGGTCTTTGCCAAGGAGACGAACAACTACAAGTTCGTGCTGCGGACGTATCGGAATGGGGCCTTGGTGTGGCCGATGACCACGAAGATCCTCGCTGAGCGGGGTGAAGGCTGCAGAGCATGGACTTTCGACTTGGAGGTTTCGGAACTGGAGTTCCTGTTCGTCTTCGACAAGACAAGCGTCCTCTTGCATCCGCTGAAGATGATGTCGCCCGTGCGAATGTGGCTTGCACACAAGTCATCCGGATCCGGCGTGACTCTCGCGAGCCACAAGGCAGCCTGCTCCTTGGAGTCCTTCCACACGAGCAGAGGCTTTGCCAACCTCTCGGAAGAGATCCTCAAGCGGCTCTGCAAGGACTGGGCAGTGCCCCTTCCGAAGAGCCAAAAAGCCCTGGCGGAGACTAAGGCTCTGCGAACTGCTCTGCTCCTGAACAAGAACCCGGGTCTTGAGGCTGCGTCCGTGAAAGCCGCTGTGATGACAGGAGATGGCAATCTGGAAGGCGAAGACGAGCTCGACCTTGAAGAAGTCGAGAATATTTTGCAAGATACCACATTGGCATCTGAGAAGGACCAGATCATGAAGCTCATGAAGAGCAGCACGAAGAAGAAGACAGAAGTTCAGGTCAGCGAAGCCATGCAGAAGTGCTTCGAGGACGTGGTGCAGAATCTGCCGCCGAACTTGAAGACAGCGAGAGCGAAGGCCCAGGCGAAAGCCAAGGCCCAGGCCAAGCGGGACTCCAAGAAGCCCGCTGAGAAGGCCTCGTCAGCAGCAGCTCCTTCTGGCACTGGCGGCGGCACGAGGACGTACGATCCTGTGCCTGCGGAGGTAGATCGCCTCCTGCATGCATCCATCCCGATGGGAGGCAAAGTCTACACCGACGAAGACAACGGTCGGTGGAAGATTGGCTTCAGCACGGATGAGGTTCATCAGCAGCGGTCGCTAAGCTGGACGACCGCTGGAGGGCCAGCTGCGGGCCTGGCAGCACTGCGGCAGCTCTGGTCCTGGAGCGAGTTGCACTCAGGAGAAAGCATGTCGGAACAGGCCGCCAAGAATGAAGCGGCAATGATTGCCGCGAGGGAGCCTGGCCCGCAAAAGCCATTTTTGTTTCTGAAATAGATCTCTTGCAGCTGGTGTTAGTGTCGATCAGTGGCATCCCGGCTAAGGACCGAGAAGCTTGAGGACCGCTTTGTTTCACCCTTTCTGTTTCACGGATTTCGCAGTTTTCTAAACGTGCCGCTCTTCTGACCGAGTCTGCATCGAGACAATTTAACATTCCTTCTAAGACCCTCACGAAACATCAGAAGAAGAGGCAAGGTTCGTTCTTTGTCGTAGTTGGGCACTGGTCAAGTGAGTCCAATCTGGTGGCAGAGGGTCTAATGTGTGTTAGGTTCGGTTGATGGGGGACATAGTATCCTAGGACAGCAGAAGAGGCTCATTAGAGGACCAGGCTAGTTGAGTTAATGATGCCCTGGCCGGCGTTCGTCGACGAGCACAAGCAGTCGCATCCGAGAAAGAAGCGGAACCGGCGGCATTTCACATCAGTCAAGCCTCGCAGCGGTCGCATATTGCCTTGCTGCTGCTGCTGCTGCCAGGCTTGAGGCTTAGCTTATTTAGATTGTGCCCCGATTATATGCCTCAGACAGTCAGTGTTTCCAAAAATAGTGCCTTCATAGCTCTTATCACCGTGTCTAGGCATTGCCCAACATACACATAGCTATCTAACTAACTGACGTTTCCGTGTGTGTTTAGAATGAGGAAGCAATCGCTGAGCAGTCTCGGCACATACTTTCCGCAGGCAGATCACAATCTGCAAACATCATGCTCCACAGGGCCTGTGAAACGTGCAAGCAGCCAGCCTCGCACAGCACATCCTTCTCCGCCACTGCTGCATATTGTATTCTGGAAGTCTCGCATGATTCAGGTAACCAGCTGCAAAGAGTATGCTAGCAGCGAGTCGGTTGTGATTGTCTTGGAGTCCAGACTCAGCATTGAAAGTGTCTCGGCTCCAGACACCTCAGAGGCTCCCAACAAGCACTTTCGCAGTGCACTCCGTCGAGGCGTCATGGAGGCAGCTCCCGAGCCAACACCGACTACTCAGCCCGCTCAGCCCATGCCGCCAAGGGTATCGGAGAAAGATGCCGTCGAAAGGTTGCGGAGCGAACTTGAACGATACTACAAGGATAGGACCGCTGAGGACTTCCAGATCAGTGTCACAGACGGAGCAGTACTTTACCGAGTCATTCGCCGCTTGGCCAAGGAGAACCAGACTCTGAAAAGCCAGTTCGAGGAACTGCAGGTCGAACTGCGGGAATGCAAGCGGCAAAAGAAACAGGACGACAGAGCGACTCAGCTACGAGATCCCTCTACCCAGGTGCCAGACTACTACCTCGACAGCTGAGAGAGGGCCAAGTCTGTAGTTAGGTTTTCTTCCTGCGTCAGTCCAAGGTTGCTCCTAGCACATGTGCTGAAGCCTGGTGCCGTGCAGAAAAAAGGAACGTTGAGCGAATGATGATGTTAGCTTTGCATCCTGCTGGCCTGGTTCAGCCTGCCCGACTCAGCTTCGAGCTAGGCTTTCAGGCAAGCAGGCGTCCATGACGGACCATACGATAGCAGCATTGAGGGCTGCCAAGCTTGCCTTCATGTCTTGGTACTTCTTTCAGCTGCACGTTCTCTTTGAGGATCGTCTCCATGTACTGCTGTTTTGCCGTGAGGTCGTCTGCCTCCAGTAGCACGATTTCCCAGTTGTTTGCTGCAAAGAGGTGCACATGTTTTCAGGCCACTTTTGCGGCACTATTACTTAGTTGCTCTTCTGATTTTTTGCAGAAGTCACCGGCTCCAGACCTTCGGTTGCTGCGGGAGTCATTGTAAATGTAAGCATCGTGTTCAGCAGCTTCCGTCTTGAGCCGTGGTAGTGGTGACTTGCATGGCATTGGAAACTCTGGAACTGGACGATCGAAGCCTAAACCCGCTAAGCTTTACTTTAAACGTATGCGGGGGCTTCGAGCCCGCTGAACTTAAACCCCACATGTGTGAGAAGCACTTGATACATATATGTCCGATCAACATATTTTTGCAAAATGCTAGAGTTGTATACCGAGAGAACCAAAACCGAAATTGCAGCAGCAGACATTGCTGCATCCTGAACAAAAAAGCAAAATGTGTGAAAAGCGCTTCTACAAATCAGGATGAATAAGAACACAAATACAAGAAACAAACGATTACGGCGGAACACAACACTATAATAATTAGGCTCGTGCTGTTAGTACTGCTGCGTTTGGTTTTGGCTGTGTTCTTTTTGGGTATGTTTTGTTTCTGTTCAGAATTTGTTTTAAGGTTCTGTCCTGTCTGCAAATGGTTGAACCTATTGTTCCATAGTTTCATTGATTATTTCGCACAGTTTTTTTATTATTCCTACTACTTTTCACGGGTGTCTGGAATTTGTTTTCCACTGGCAATCGTTTCCTATGCATTTCCGAATCGTTTCCTTTGCATTTTTATTCATTTCCCTTTCAAGACTTGGTCTCGTGCAACTGGGCATGAACAGAAAGCCCACAACCGTCGAGATTATGCCCGACTCCCGTAACTCGAGCCCCAGTCCCTTCATGTTCATGCCTCATTTTCAGCCCTGGACGTCAAACTGGCCAACCAAGCTTGCCGGCACCTGCATAGTTTGCGCCTCGATTTTTTTTGCGGCCAGAACAAGGGGGGGGTTGGTAGAGCCGTTTTCCGAGCCCATCCTACATGCATTCGAACCCCCAAGACAACCGTACCACTCTGTCTCAGCGGACAAGTTCGCAAACTGATTCAATACCCAAAACGAGTCAGAATATGTTAAGCATGGCCAGCCCCACAAGCAGCAAGATATCCAAAGAACAGCAATGAAACGATCATTTGTTTTTGCAGGGTCCAAAATTGTTTTTCAAATGGTGCGAGATGACATTCTCTAACCACGAAGCTGAGACCCAAAAATGACGATGACAATCCAAGCAGTCTTCGCCACCAAATGGTCTTCCCCAGTTGGTCCTCCCAATAGTGTGAAGTCAGATGCCATGACTGTTAAAAAAGATAATGTCGCACAAATCCCTTAAACTGTTGAAGGTTGAAGAAGACCAGCATACAATCGGAGGGTGGAGACTAGAAAAATCCAATGGAACAAGATTGCCGGCGGACGATTACAAACTTAAATACAATGAGCTGGCTAATGTGCCCCAACCTACAAATGAAAGATTTAACGTAGAGGACGAGTGGGACACTCAAGATATGTAAGGAAATTATAGATTGTGTGGGAGAATGTTTAATTCGTGGAAAGGTTGGAAAGATAGGCAAGAGTTATGTAGGAGAATATGTTTCAAAATTGGTTTTAATGTGTTGTTTGTTGTGCCAAAAAACCGCCTATCGCAGGAGAAAGAGAATGAGGCATAAAGTTGAAACAGAGAAAGACGATGAAGTGTTCGAAATGACCACTGGCCTTATAATGTTATAGTGTTTGAAGAAATGTATATGGCATCTATGTATATGCTGCATAAAGTAAGACTGTTTTGTTTAGATAATCTTGACAAAATTAAAATAGCAACCGGTGATACTAAGCAACTGCCTCCTATAGAGGATATCACCAACTGCCAAGATAAAAAAGTACATGCGAACCAATGTTTAAATACGATATTCAAGCATCACATCTTCTTAGAAATATCCAAGCGGGTTAAAGGAGAGGAGAAAAAATCGTTAATGATATGTATGCCGACTTCTGGGTTGATAAGTTGCCACTTGAAGAGCTGATTAAGAAATATTTTGAGATGACCGATGATGTGATGACATCCGACTGCAACATAGCATACACAAATAACAGGTGTATGGGTGTATCCAAAGAGGTAAGGAGGCTGGGTGTGATTATGAAGTAGGCGAGGTTTTAGTTTGTAGGTTGTACAAGAGAATGGGACAACAGAGTTTTAATGTGAATTTCAGATATATCATGAAAGATATTAATGCGGTGATATTTGATTTACAGAACATAAGAAGCGGTGAGAAATTGAAACGGATAGGGAAACAGTAGATAAGCATTTTAGGCATGATTATTGTATTACTTATTACTTGCCACAGTGCCCAAGGGGCGACCATAGAGACAACAATAACAATGCACGAAAGGGAGTTCTCGCATTTGGTGTCCCGTGAGTAGATTTCTACCGCGGTCACACGCTGTGATGATTTTAGCAATGTGAAATTTTAAATAAATGGTACATACGACAGGGTAATGGATAAGATTAGGATATGAGATATTTATCGGATAAGGTAGAGCGGTAGAAGCAACAAGATAGACGCAGTCATAGAGCAATACATGAAAGTAAATACATTGACGCCGAACGGTGGTAAAGATATTATATACGAGGCAACTGCCAACAGTGCGGCAAAAGGCTTGAAGTTGATATTAAAAAGGGTAAGTTATGTAGCAACTTCGCAGGGCAAAGGGAAGAAAGTTCAATCGCTCACACTATGGATTATTGCCAGCCGTGGTGTATCTACTGTAATTGTAGCGCCCACTAAAAAAGGTTGAAAGAGATGGCATGTTTAGGTAATTAGAGGTATAAATAGGTATAGGAATGGAAAGATGCATAAAAATGTTGATGTAGGCATCGGAAGCACTTGTGAAAAGTTATGCAAAAGCAAGGAGAGGCATAGAAACGACCATAAAAAATATATACAGGGTAAAGAACGAACATCTCCGTCGATGAATACAAACCGGAACAGTGTAAAATTGAACTCATTGAAACTTTGGCTGCGAAAGTAGACAGGAACTGCTGAAAAAAGAAAGGCAACACATACGCAATTTAGAATGCGTGAAGAAACACATCGCGGATAGAGACAATCAGCAATATTACCAAGACAACAAGGAGCACCTGAAAAGCAAATCTAGCGAATACTACCACAACAGCATGGAAGTATGTGCGCCAAAAAGGAATATTATGAAACTCATAAAGAGCAGATGCAGCAATACAAACAGCAGTGGTATTCCGAGAACAAGGATTATCATAACTTTAAAGCTCGCTTGTACAGGGAAGAGCATAAAGATGAACTCGCGGAGACAAGCCAGCAGTATTATGAAGCAAACAAGGAACAAATCG